TTTGCTTTGATTCATATGCCAAAGTTTGGACCTTTTTTATATATTTGGACAGTAATGTGACTGGATTACGCATTTGTGAGCATTCGAAATTGGTCATTTGAATTTGCGGTTAGATTCTGCGTGTTCTTTGTTCTGATACCGATGATAAATCTCCAAATTGGCATTGATTCATATGCTTAAAGTTTGTACCTTTTGATATATTTGGGCCGGAATATGCATTGTGAGCATTTTTGGTCATGCTCTGCGCCGGATTCTGCGTGTTCTTTGTCCTGATTAATGGATAATTATTCTTTGAGAAATGTGTACTTGTGTTTGTCTTGACTTAGAGCTGAGTGTGTAGTTTGTGTGTTTTCAGGAAAATCCCAAGAGATTTGACAGAGGCATCTCTCTCTGGTGCTGGACTATCAATTGTAGCTGCAATGGCTATGTTGTTTTTGTTTGGAATGGTAAAATCTTCTCTTGCCTTGTTTGCTTCTTCCTCGGGGTTCGCAGATGCTTCGGTGTTTTGACCAATAGGTTCTTGATTAAGATACTGTCCTTTTATATTGCAGGAGCTGAGTAATTATATAGCAGTTAGTACTACCACATCTGTAATAGTTGACAAAAGCTCTGATGGGGACTTCGTACACATTGATTTCAACATCAGGTAGATGAAAATCAACGTTTTTTACGAGTTAGAAAATGAAGAACAGCAACATTTTCCATTTTATCGCTATCGTTCTTAATTTCTTATGTGTTTTATGTTTCAACCTTCTCTAGAATACTGATGGTTTCTTGATAAATTGATGTTTGGTTTCTTTAACCTATCTTCTGTAGCTTTCCTGCCCTCTCATGTGAATTTGCATCGGTTGATGTGAGCGACGTGTTGGGAACTGTAAGTCTCTGTTTCCAATTTCCATGTCTTTCTCTTTCCCACTGCGAGAAGGATACATATTTCCATATTTGTTTGTTTGTAAAAAAAAACACAAAAGTCTTCACATTTCCTTTGATCATAGAGAATGATTCTTAGAATCTAAAGGTGTTTAATTAAGTTGGTTGTGCAATGGCGATAATTCTTTCATATTCTGTGTTTAAAATTTGTTAGTAAAATTCTTCAGAGCAGGTTGAATCTAACGAAAACGATTAAAAAAGTTCCCATTGATCCGCATTTAAGAGATACTGGTGTGGAATTCCACTCCACCACCGGATTACATCTCATCAACCATGGAGACGAAGAACATGAACATAATAATACTTATTCTGCGCTACCATTAACCGATGCTACTTTTGAGAAATTTTCACATTAACCGATGCTACCATTAACCGATGTAAGTAGGCAACTTCTTTTTTTTTTTTATATTGTGTATACTATTATGAGTACATGTCCAAGAGTTTTAAGATGAATTAATGACATTGGACTTTCTTTATGCAGTTTTCAAATTATGGTTGTTAATTTTTACGCGCCGTGGTGCTACTGGAGTAATCGTCTGGTAAACTTGTCGATTTTCATGAAGTTTTTCATTTGGTATGCAATTACTAGATTTCTAAGTGAAATTTTCAGAAACCATCTTGGGAGAAAGCAGCTGAGATAACAAGACAGGTGTGTATATTGTTTTCTTTTCCTATTTGTTATTAAAATGTGAAGAATCATCAAGTTACGGTTTTTCTGATGATTTCTTTTTTGGAATTGCAGATATGATCCTGAAACTGATGGACGTGTTCTTCTTGGAAGTGTTGATTGCACAGAAGAACCTACTCTATGTAAGAGGTATTGTTTTTCACTCCTATTTCTTGTTGTTTTCGGGTTTTATTCAGATAAGTTTTTCAATTTTATCGAATGAAATCTCCAGGAGTCATATACAAGGCTACCCGACTATTCGAATTTTCCGCAGAGGCAATGATCTAAAGTGAGAAAATCATCTAATAAGCTCCTTAATTCTACAATTAGCTTCAGTTATGGTTCTTCATTGTCGTCTACTTAACCATTTTATTCGGCTTTTTAATGTATATCAATATAATGTATCTTACTTTAGGGAGGATCATGGACACCATGAACATGAATCTTACTATGGTGATCGGGACACGGAGAGTTTACTCAAGGTAGACTAATCTAGATTAGATTCTACCATCAAGAATATACTCAAATCCTTGGACCTATTTGTGTATTTACATAAGAAAATTGTGTGTTTCTTTGAGAAATTTTCATATACAATGATTTGTTTTTTTTTTCAAGATGGTGGAAGGATTGCTGAAACCTATTAAAAAGGAGGATCATAAGTTAGCTTTGGATGGTAAAACTGATAATGCAGCTTCAAGAATTAAAAAGGCAACAGTTAGTGGAGGTTGTCGAATTGAAGGCTATATCCAAGCGAAGAAGGTAAAAAAAATGTCAAAACATCCAAAGGTTATTATAAGACTTATGTTTTGTTCTTTTATATTATTTAGTTGTTTTCAGGTTCCTGGAGATCTTACAATCTCAGCTCATTCAGAAGTTCATTCATTTGATGCTTCTCAAATGAACATGTCGCATTTTGTTACGCATCTCACATTTGGTAGAGTGATTTCAGAAAAGTTGTGGACAGATATGAAATTATTATTTGCTTATATCGGCGGTAGCCATGACAGGCTAAATGGAAAATGGTTCTTAAACCGTGGACAGTTTGCTGCTAATGTTACCGTAAGTCTTACAAAATTCAAATAAAGTATTTTCCTACTCGAGGTTTCTCTTATATCGTGGAGAAATACAGATCGAACACTATCTTCAAGTAGTCAAAACAGAGGTCGTTTCAAGAAGATTCGGTCAGGAACACTCATTGATTTCGGAATATGAATATACTGCACATAGCAATGTAGCTCACGGTTACTATTATCCCGTTGCAAAGTTTCACTATGAGCTCTCTCCTATGCAGGTTACTTTCCGTGCCAATGGCAATGCCTATTCTCTTTTTCTTATACCTTACAATTGATCTTTGCTCTGTG